AGAAACTGAGGAGCAATTGCCGAAGCGTGATCACAAAAAGGCACTCTTGACGGACATGAAATCTCAAATTGATAGTATTTGATGTAGGATCTCTGGATTAAGCCGTTTGCCGCGAAAAGGTCGCTAAGGAGTCCATGCCTTTTGGGGATTATGATACCTTGACGGTTATTAACTTTTATAAAAAAAACCTCTTTTTCCCAATAACTCGCGCGCGTTTAAATATTTTATTTTCATTTTTTGGAAAATGTTACCTTGAATAATGAACTTTAATTTGGTTGGAAAAAAGAAAATTTGGAAAAGTATCCCCGCGAAGGTTTGGTGTAACCTTAATTTGTCTCTAACATCAGTTTTCGCAGTCGTCTCAGTAGTTTAAAACAAAAAGGATTATTTACCGGCTTTGCAGAGTTGACAAAAACGCATTCAAGAGGCTTTTGTTTCACTTCTAACGTTGAATAGAAAATGGTTCTTTGTGGTTTGGAATAGTTTGCTCCCACGCTTTGGTAACTTAAAATATAGGGTTTATTTTGTTTACTGAAGTACTAATTTTATTTGTTACTAGAAATTCAAAACCTCCATAGAAACAGTCGACAAGCTGTATCAACTAAGAACACGACGGAAGCGAAAGACACTGCGGAAACCACCATCAAAATCAGCAAGCATCTTTTATCACAATGGAGAGCACATCTGTGTCAATCTAAGAGTGTCATGTGCTCATCAGGTCCCCCAGGCCCTCCCGGTCCACCTGGGACAAAAGGAGCCCGGGGACGAAGAGGACAGAAAGGAAGAAATGGAAATAAAGGAGATCGAGGCATTATGGGATCACCAGGAAAGAGCGGCAAACAAGGCATTATCGGACCTGGGGGGTTAAAGGGAGAGCCTGGAACCAAAGGTGAGAAAGGAGATGTAGGGCCTGCAGGCATGCCGGGAACTAAAGGCGAGCCCGGTGAATCGATATCATCTCCTACTGTTGTTGTTTCTCCTGTGACGTTGACAGTGAACGAAGGTGGATCAGCCTCGTTTCTGTGTTCGGCCAGCGGTAATCCTGAGCCTGCAGTAGCGTGGAGTAAACTGGACAATCAGTCAGAAATCATTCAGTCAGCGGTTTCAAGAGGAAAGCTGCAATTAAAGCACGTGACCGGAAGTGATGCAGGATTGTATCAGTGTTCAGCAACAAACATCCTGGGGAATTCACGGGAAGTAGTGCAATTAACAGTAAACGGTAAGCTTGTGCTGATAATAATACAAATTGAATTGTTATAAGGTTGGAATTTAGTTGAGTCTAATGCGCGCTCATATTTTGATTTATGGTCAAGTGGCAATGGCTAAATCTAAATTTTGGCCTCGGCGGGGAACAATTCTGCAATTGTTGGCCCGCTTTCCCATGAACCAGAGGCTACTTTGACTTCTTCTTTCCTTGTTACTTTACACTTCACTCCAGCTATATAACAAAAGACTCAATTACTGGTCCCTTGGCAAACAATCAGTCTCTCGAAACTAGTAATTAAGTGTATATTTTGTCAAAGCGAGTTTCAAAACTTCTAACTATGAATGGTTTATTTTCTTAGAAAATCAGTTGATATTTAAGTCCAAAACTGAGACTAAATGTTTTTTTCTTGATTGCAGTTCATCCTCGTGCTTCTTTGCATCCGGGACCTTCTTACGTCATCGAAGGGAGTAGCGTCACTTTACCGGCCTGTCACGTGACCGGATACCCGGCTCCTGTGGTCACCTGGAGGAAGTTGTCTGGTCAGTTACCCCAGGGGAGGGTGCAGTATAACAACACTGCTTTACAAATCTCACATGTCCGTAAAGTTGATTCTGACGCCTACTTCTGTTCAGCAGTCAACCTTTTAGGAAATGTTGAGAGGAAAACTCTACTAGTTGTGGTTTCCCTTCCTGTGTTTACCGTTAAACCCCCTGGAAAGGTTTCTGTTGGTACTGGCACCTCTTTGACGTTAAACTGCAGTGCCATCGGTGATCCACGTCCAGTCATCAGTTGGAAAAGACAAGGAGCAGCACTTCCCGTGGGGAGAAGCCACAGGACAAACGATGCGCTTGTGTTAAGAGATTTGAAAAAAGAGGATGCCGGGATATATGTGTGCGTGGCAACAAGTGCAGGAGTGTTTGATATCGAGGCCATTAGTGATGTTGAAGTTCTAGCAAGAGGGAAAGGTAAGTTATAAATTGTGTGGTTCTATTTGTCATAAAGAAAGAGTTGGAGTGCGCTAAATCCCTTCGTCTGCCCGTTGGTTTTGAAGGAGATATTTCTCGTCTTTTGAAAGTTGCTTGGTGAATGGTGTTCAGGACCTGGCTCTCGAAATACGCATGCATGCAGATTAAATCACTGGCAGGACAACTTCTGGGCTACGCTGATGTAAGCTGGCAAATGGTCAGCCTTCCATTAGATCAGAGTCTTAACAAGTTTACGTTTTATATGCAATGTTTGTTTGATTATTTATTGTATTCCTAACCTGCGATCATATTTGTCCAGTTGGGAAAACGATCACTACTTAACGAGTACTTCGAAAACAATTTGCCAAAACGGGTTCATGTTTCCGAAACCCTGCTTTATTCGGTAAAAGAGAACGCGAGGCGAAGAAAAGGAGAGTTCATCTCGTAATCAGTATGTTTACTCAAGGCAAAGGGAGGTCTTGATCCCGTGGGAGAGGATTTCTTCTTACATGGCACTGGAGGCATTACTCGTCATACCTTTTAAGGGTGGAAATTCGTTTTTTAGTACGGCTTAGGGTTTTTCGATTTAAATTTCGCAGTCGTTTTCAATATTTTTAATATGATATCTTTGAGGACACGTTTTCCAAGTGAAGCATAAAAATAAACGGGAAATAATGGTCAAGGAATAATTTCTATCTGTGATGTTGCAATTAGCCGGCTAGTGTCATGCGTCACTTACCAATATGAGTGTGGAATTGGTTCCTCTTAAGAGTTAAATGAATTGAACCGAGCTCCATCAAATAGATCTTTTTTTCACAATTTCCGACGATCATTTTCGTCGCTTTTGAATGTGGAAGGCCTGATAGCAACTAACATCACAGCGCTAAACGTTCGCACAAACGAAAAACAATAATAACTCCTCACATCGTTAGCTTGGGCCGCCTGTGTGTCATGTAGACAGCGATATTTAACGAGTTTATGATATTACTAGACCCAGAACTGAGAAGAAGAACTAAAAACTGAACGATTGCAATTTCTCGGATACTAAGGTTATGTCTTTAATTCAGGTCATTTTCTAACCCGCCCAATGAGCTTTGATCTTTTAGATTATAATTGGTTTGCCTACAGTATGCGTAAAGAAGGTGATTTCAAGCGTGATGGAATTTCCGATATAACATTTCAGCTGCAATACCACTGGGATTATTTCAAATAAAAATTAAATTCACTGCCTGCTTTTCATTTTGTCAGATTGTTCAGATCTGGTAAAATCAGGCCATACTCAGAGTGGAGTGTACTCTATCAACCCAGACGGCACAGGACACTTCATTGTCTACTGTGACATGCACACTGACGGTGGAGGCTGGACCGTGTTTCAACGAAGACAGGATGGCTCGGTAGACTTCTATCGGGGATGGGACGACTACAAAGCAGGCTTTGGTCAGCTGTCTGCTGAGTTCTGGTTAGGAAACGACAAGATCCACAGGTTGACAGCCTCTAGACCCAGCTCGCTACGAGTGGAGCTAGAGGACTGGAACGGAGGTAAAACGTATGCCAAATATGGCAAGTTCAAGATTAGTGATGAGCAGGCGCAGTATCGACTTGATGTGGGTTCATATTCAGGGATAGCGAAAGACTCGTTAGCATATCATAATAACATGGCGTTTAGTACAAAGGACACAGATAATGACAGATGGTACACCAATTGTGCTGTCAAATATACTGGCGCCTGGTGGTACAAGTATTGCCACTACTCCAATCTAAACGGAAAATACCTGGGAGACACAAGTAGTGACCAAGATGTCAATTGATACCACTGGAAGAATGCGTTTGTCTCACTCAAATTCACTGAAATGAAACTGAGGCCGTCATAGTAAAAATAATACCAGTTAATTACACCTGAGCTTTTACAATTAATTTTGTTATGTTATGCAATTGTACTTTAGTCCAAAGTAAATTTTTTGTGTTGTTTTGCATCAACCCTCGGTCTCAATTAATTAATTTTGTCATGTTATGCAATTGTACTTTAGTCCAAAGTAAATTTTTTGTGTTGTTTTGCATCAACCCTCGGTCTCTCCCCTTCCCCATCACCTTCCTCCAACTTTATGCTTCCTTTGTTTCTAAAGTTTTTGAGTCCGGCCACAAAGAAAATGAAAACAGTCCCCTTAGCCAAGTTACCACTGAGAATTTTTCGATGTCCTTTTGATGAGCGACTTCCGGTATTCGAAATTTTTAACAACTATACTCCGTTAAATATTAACGTTAGTTCAGTTTCAAGTATATGATGACTTTCCGCGAAACTAGAATTGATAACTCAATTGTTTGTGAAATATGATTTTGCTTTGTTTTTTTATCATTTTTCAAAAGACCGACTCTGGGAGCCATTTTTGTCCCCAAACCGCTGAATCGGGATCGAGCGGTTAAGGTAGCATGGAGTGACACGTCACGTCACCGGTGACTTTTAGTAAGTTTAGTTTGTATTGAATGGAACATTTCAAACAAAAAAAGGCTTCCAAAAGCCTGTTAGAAACCTGGAGAAGATCAAGAAAATGGACCAAAAACAGCAATAATTTTGTTATTGTCCGGCAGAGAGATCTTTATCTACCTAGTTTTAACACGGTTACAGAGATAACCGTACGTACGGAAAACGCTCAACCAGATATTTAGACCCAAGACTGTAGAGTAAGATATCAAGTCAAAAAAGATCGGCAGTTCAAGACCCGAACACGCAGACTTGATTTAAGTAACATCCTTGCAGGCTCTAGTGGCTGCCATCTGTGTAATTCATGATTTTAATTTCTTTTATTCATGATTTTAGACAGTGTTATAAGTAGTATGCAATTTTTATTTTGGCTTCATTCAATCTATTTTAAATTTGTATTTTAGCTAGTATTTTAGATATCTTAAGGGTCCCCTATTAGCAACGGGACTCTCTCTCTCTGTCTTTTTTTTTTTGACACGTTAATAAAGTTACTATTTTTATCATTATTATCGTCATCATCGTCGTTGTCATCATCATTATTATTTTTTAACAAAGGAAAGCCAGTGGAAGAAATAGGTATCACCTTCAACGGCAAACGGAAAAAGTCCGCTTGCTGTTGACTGAGGCCGTTTTCCTTTCCTTGAGTCCTTCAAAAATTTCACAAGAAAACGTAAAACAAAACCACTTTTACGAAGAAGCTGTACACGGAGAAGTATATCTTTGTATTTTTCCTTCACTATAAAATAAGGCGAGTACCCAGCTAATGGCTTTGATATCGTCCACTGTTGTAGACTCCTGACTCCCAAATCAAAAAGAAATTAATAAATTATCCAACAAGAAACGGAAGAACGTTACAGAAAGTTGTATCAGTCTCATTAGCCATTTTCTGTTCGCGTTTGAACAAGGAGTGGGTTGGGAGATAAGTCAATGTAGGTTAAAATGTTTAGGAATTGTAATAAGATTTTGTATCAATACAATTTCACTCGGCTCTCGTTTTCGTGAAACGTGAAATGACCATCTTATTTCTGTGAGGTGTAAATGTTCCATTTATTTATTTACATATTGTTTTGAAAGGTGATTTTGACTTCCAATTTACCACCCTCTTTCCAAAAATTTCAAAACTTCAGTTGAAATTCGAACTAATAAAATTCGAAGCATTCCACTTGTAATGCCCCCGTTAGCCTTGACAATGATTGTTTTGATGTTCTAAAGGCAAGCGTGTTGGCCGGACGACTACAAGTTGTCTGGTCAGGGTCATTGTGTTCTGTTCTTAGGTAAGACACATAACTCTTACAGAACCTTGAAATGTTGCATGTTGAGTTACCTGATAAAATATTTGGGACTTGCTTGCAATGTAATAAGCATCTTCTTCAAGGAGGAGTAGCAATATTCCCGACGTGGTGGGCTTAACTGAAATACAGTCGAACCTTCGGTTGCGACCACCTCTCCTCGGTGACAGTTTTTCAAAATACCAAAAGTTTCCAAGTCAAATCACTATATCTAAAACCTCTTTTTAAGCAACCACCTCTCGTAAGCGACCGCGACCACTTTTAGGGCTAAAAAATTTGAAATTAAGAGTAAATGCCTATAAAAATGGACCTAAATCGCCTATCAATGGCACAAGTCGAAAAATTGATTTCGCTTGTATTTTGTCCATAGATAGGTCCT